GCCAATTGCACCCTGAAAAATGAGCATATAGTTATTGTCACAGAAGAATTACCCCCCCCCCCCCCCCCCCCCCTCTTTTTTTTTGGAGACCTTAGATCAACATTTCCTATTTAAAAAAGTAAATACATGCTTGTTTTATGAATGAAATTGTTATGACAAGGGTTTGGATTTTTTTCTATCTTTCATGATCTTAAGGATTTTGCACATAGCAGGATCCATATCAATAGTAGAATATCCATAGGGTCCAGGTTATGGACAGTACAACCATGAAAATAATTGTCGACTAACAGGATCACGAAGCACCAAGGAAAGCTACTGGAACTCTGAATCATACAACCAAGAACGTTTCAGAATTAATTTTGGTCTAATTAATTAACTCCAACCTGTTGGCGACGCCATATTGAACGGAGAGTTGCTGCCTCAGACAGGATTTTCAGTTCAGTCTCTTCTTCCAGGTTTAAATGAAGAAGCTCCGATGCGCTCTCATACGTCAACATGTAAGTTGGTCTAATGATTGAGTTGACCACCGAATATTCTGCAATACTATTGAACCACACAGAGAGTAAAATAGAGTTCATTAGTAAAATTTGGTTGGAAAGGAGAAAACTAACCTTTGAGTTAGCAAAAGCTAAAATGCTTTAAAGAAATATCCACCCCACTTGTTCTAGATGATTATATAATCTTTGAATCATAGTCTGTAGAATTATCTTATTTGGAGAAAATTAACCTTTAAGTTAGCAAAAGCAAAAATGCTTCAAAGAAATTCCCACAAGTCTGTTGTGATGCCCCCTCCTTCAGTTAGAATGATTTAATTATTTCAGTCTGTAGAATAATATGGAATCATTTTAATTCAAAAATCTATCTAACCCCACCACCTTCAAAACCAAGATAATTCTGAATTCATAATATAAAAATCTAGGAGGGAGGTCTACAAGCCCTAAAAAAGGGTGTTACAGCTCTGTGTAACTCCATTAAACTATAAAACAGCACCGATTCGGATGAGATCTCAAAAGGGGGACCAAACATATAAAGAAAAAAAATTGTTTTACCTGCCATCAGAATGCAGCACAACAGATACTGTAACTGCATTGCAATTCTCTCCTTGTTGCAAACTCATTCCCTCCATGGCAAGTTTCTCTGGGAACATAGGATAAGTGGCAGTGGGCAAGAAAACAGAAGTTCCTCTTCTCATTGCTTCCCTATACATCATGAATTTATCAGAAATGAGTGAAACATAAACACGTATCAATAAGGCTTGTAGTGTTCCACGAGCTACCTGTCTACTATGCTCCCGGGTTGAACAAACCTAGTTGCATCTGCAACATGAATCCATATTTTAATGCGTCCATCTTGCAGCCTCGTTGCACTCAGAGCATCATCAAGCTAACATGTTACAATTAAAAATTTCATACGAAGATCTATCAAATTTTGATGCGGCAAAAATTTACAGTTTTGACAGCAGAAGATAACATCACTAGGCATGTGTAAAACATACCTCATCAGCCTCATCCACATCAATAGCATAGACCTTCAAGTGAGTGAGATCTTTCCTTTCAATCTAAAACAAGAACATTTGCAGAATTTTTGTAAGGTTTTTAAACTAAATTTTGCCCTATATGTACTATAATACAGGAAGCAGGCTAACCTTATACTTTCATTTTTATAGATGTGTGTTTGTGTAATTTTTCATAAAAACCATTAAAAGTTTCATTACAATAATAATACAAGGCTTCCTATAAAATTAAGGATGCAAGCCGAAATCTTAATACTGAATCACATCTTGCCCCATGGGTATAACTATATTCATAACAGAGAGCAGGCTAACCTCATCTGGATCATATGAATCTGACAGAAGACTTTCTGCAGCTGATATAACTTCATCTGAGTGATCAGTACGGGTATTGAACTTCAACAGGTCAAGATTCACATGTACAGGAAAAAACCCAATATTTATGAGGAGATTTAGAGCTGATGATGCTGTTTTCACCATCCCCATTGCCCTTAGGATCTGACAAGAAGGTATGTACAAAAGGATAAACAAATTAGGAACAAAGCTGATATGCATGTATGAATATGATGTATCACACAAAGAGAAATAGGGCATAACATCATCAACAAGATCTTCTCTTATGATGAGCCATACATTTTCAGAGCTTAGAAGTACCAATTATCACAGTAAGCTTAAACACTATCATTTAAGTCAGACTTAGTTACCATTCCAGCCGTTTTCCTTTGGTCATCATTTGTGCAGGCATCAATAGCATACGATTCAAGAGACTTAATTTTCTGTCTGATTTTCTCTTCAACCATCCAAGAAGATTTGGGAGGTTTAGCATCTAAAGGCATTGCCTTAGCAGATTTCAGTAATTGTACAAACTCCTGCAGTTCTTTCTCAGCTGCCTCCTTTGCGAGCTTCCTACGGAGAAGTTCCTCAACCTAGTTTCTCAAAAAAAAAAAACAAAAATTCACGTCAAAATTATTGGAAAAGCAAGAAGGCAATCAAGATGAATGCTATCATGGATTACTCAACTTATTAATCAAACTTGCATTAACTTCTAATACATGTCAAGAATATATTTTCTTTCTTTTTCTTATATAAATATATATATATATATATATATGTATGTATATATATGTGAAGATGCCTAAACAGTAAAACAAAAGATTTTTAATTTAGAGTGGTAAGTCCTATTGGTATCTGCCAACATACGGCCCAAACCATCTTATGCCAATCAACATCAACATACCAACAGACTACAAAAATTTCAATTGTTATAAGTTTTCTTCACCATCTAATACAAAACTATCAATATAGAGTGGAATTAACATCATCTGAGGAGAATCACTCTTCCTTCAAACATAATATCCTTTCTTGAAACACATCTCCACATTAGGAGCCATAAAGATAAGCAATTTCAAACAAGGCGAGCCAACTGTAAGAAGAGAAGATGTTAAACCAAAGCATGCTGTACCTGCACAGCAGGTCGAGGTCCATATATAGAGTGAGAACCTTTTGTCTCTAGCACAGTGAAGTATACTTCATCTTCTGAAAGCATCACATGAGCACAGTAGCATTCAAGAGGCTCCACACTACCAAAGATCATCTGTGGAATGAGCTAGGGTCATTGAAGGAACAGCCATACATATATATTTAACTTGAAAAGTATAGTACCTCAGCTAATTCTTCTGGCGTCACACGCTTATTCTTTTCGAGGAGTTCAACCCAAGCAAATTCTAGAAGTGCTGAGTCCTGCACCAGATCAAAAAATATTCTTTACCAAAAAACACAAACCACCAGAATAGAAAAAGAAAATTCATATCTGCGACTATTTTTGGGCAAGAACCAACCGAGTTCTCCTGAGCTCTCTGAACAAACTTTGAAATCTCCGCGTGGTCGAAATTTTCAACACCAGGAACAATATATGTGATTTGTTGTGGTTTAATGGATGATGTAACACCATTCTGACATAGCATAAGAACAACCACCATAAAAATACAAATGTTAGACTAGCAGGAAACAATAACATCCCGTGCATAGTTTTTATTATTATTTAAGTTTAAAAAAGTTTCACAGTGAGCTTTCAACACCTAGCAACCTATTAATAAGCCGCATTAGTTGTTTTTCTAGTAGAACCTGATCAGAAACCATCCAATTCTTCTTGCCATCGGGTCTCTGGGCAACAGCAAGCAATACTCTCTCTGAATCCTTCTTGAACTCGAGCAGCAACCCTTGCTGCAGCGTTCGGTTCACAAGCTTATCTTCTACAATCCCTCCACTGCTTGTCAGCTCCACCCTGCAAAACATTTACTAAATAATCTCATTATACTTGCATTATATATATGCCTTTTTTCTTTCTCAGCAAGCAAACAGCGCATAAATTACATTAATTTAAGTCTCTAAATTCGTAATTAAGGATGATTAAAAAAAATTCCGAAGAAATGTGATTCTGAGAGGGGGAGAGAGAGGGAAGCTACTTGGCGGCAGCGCGAACTCGTCTCCGTCGGCGCAAGGCACCGAGCTCTTCCATGATGCTGTCGACGAGGCTGTGAACGGAGCTGCTTTGAAGGCCGCCATGGCCAGGAACTAACTTATCGGATCGAAATATCGGGAAGCGAATGCTAAATTGGGAGAAGCGGCGACTGAAGTGGCATGGGGAGCAGCGGAAGGCGAAGAGAGTAGGGGACGAAGAGGAAGTGGAAGCGGAGCGAAAGATTGAACAGCTGCTGACGGCTCGAACCGCCATCACCGTCCGGCGAACGAAATGAAAGGTTTAGGGGAATGGGAGGGAGAGTTTTTGTTACTCTGCTTGTTTGTTGATAATGGCTATCCTGTGACTGCGAAAGCTTGTTTTCTAACACCCGCCCTTTTCTTTTCTGTCGCACACAATATGTAACGAAATTTTTATTTATTTTTTGTCATTAATTTAATAGAAAAAGTCATGAACTCAAATTAAACAAGCAAATCATATTTTTTTTTGGAGGATTTTTACTGGTGAAAATGTGTTTTTATCTCAATGTTGTAGTTGATTTTTGTGTTAACTTTTAGGTTGGTATATAATCAACCAAAAGTCGAGCAAGCAAGTTACACTGATATGTGGTGTTATTAGTTCAAATGTTATAATATGAATGAACGACATAGTTGATATATTATGAAATTATAATTGCTAGAGCATGTTACATTCCATGCTGGTTTATCTATCTGTTTGACTGCAAATTTGCAATGACTTACCATGACACACACAAATAATGATGATATTGATGCAGTTGGATCATGGTCGTCTTAATTATTTTTTTCCAAAATTATTAATTAACTTATGTCATCTCATCAAGCCTTTTTTCCCAGTCAAAAAGTGATACAACTTCAGAAAAATGGTATGCCTGGTAAAATCTGAGATGAAACACGTACATATTTTGGCAACTCTGCAGTTTCACACGGTGTGAGAGTCTACACGTACGGCTACATATTTTCACATGCACTTGGTACTTCCTACATCTATATGTTGTAAAGAAAACAGAGCAATCAATCAAATTTCATAGTAAAGATCAAGAATCAAATATTACAGAATGAAATGAATACATGCATAACAAGGGTATCATAACAAAACAAATCCGTAAATTGTATCTTTATACATGCAAGCAGCTCGTGCCGCCCTAAGCCCCCTCATCTCTACCGCAAAAAATCAACTGCAAAGCTGAGAACACAGCCCCTGGATCTGAGACCTGCTTGCATTTGCCAATGTATACGTGCCGTTCTTACCATTGCTTGAGCATGTTAACAAGAGCTGATTGCCCGTCTGGCTTGACTGCAATGAGGTCATGGCACACAGGAGAGTCAGATTGATTCATGCGATTATCACAAGAAAATATCAGACATACTGTTCTTAATCACGAGTACAATTGCCTCTTTGCTAATAAAACCAGTTCCCCTTGACACACAGAAACTTGCCGTCATGTATTCTTTCCAAAAATTTTAACAACTAGTTAGATGAAGATTCAGGTGATCATATATTCAGCACATGAAGCCTTTTTACCCAGTCATAAAGTGATGCAATATGAGAAGAGTGATCTGTCTTGTAAAATTGAATGCAAATCCTAAATAGTATGCAAGGGGGAAATGAAGGGAGTTTTCGGAATTAGTTACCGTGCAGTATGCAGGCTCTGTCTTGCAACTCCATCTTGAAGTAGGGACACAGGACAAATAATGACACCAAGAGCAATGTTTATTTGCATCAACTCCCCGCAGAAGCATAACCAGGCCAACAGTAAACCTGTCATATCAGCAAAAGAGTATTCAGTTTATTCATTTAATAAATTTCCAAGTTAACAGAAACTTTCTCAGGCAGGCCTAAGTCCAATTTACTCAAGTTTGCATGACATCCCTGGTTGCGCCATTTATAACATGAACTAACAGAAGGTGAACATATAACCAAGAGGAAAAACAAGAATAAAAATTAGGGTCCTAGATAAGTACTTCTAGATAAATTTTAGGGAAATAGCCACATTTTGGAAAGTTTCTATATCTCTCTGTGTAGGCATCTTCAACATTGACCAAGTTTCTTTGTTACTTTTGGTTGCTTTAGGGTTCATTCCTAGGTAGAAGAAACTAAGAAAGAGCTTCTGCCATGAATGGAAATCTCTACATCGAATCTGATATTTGAAGTAGATAAAACATTGTTTCACGATTAGGTTGAGCACCTACAACCTAGGTTTCAACAATGTAGATGGACATGTAAGAACTCATTTTCAATACAAGCACAACAAAAGTTTGGGCTGTAGCTGGTAAGTTAGAAAAAATTGATGTTCTATAGGAGCTTTATATCGCCTAAAAAGAACTTAAATTGGGTAGAAGACTGTGATATGTCATTGTTGAGCTAGTTCATCTGAGGAGCAAATTATGTTTAATGAAAAAGGTCAGCATGTTATATACTCTTTGTAAGCAGATTTGTTTTCGTATGTACTTTTACAAGTACTGATATGTCTTGAACTTCGATTTAACTTCAGATGAAACGGCTTGACTTACCCAACAATTAAAATGATCACAGAAAGGACCCACAAAATGCACTGATAGGTCTTGAACTTCGATTTAGCTTGAGATGATGCGTATCCCGTAGGACCATATCTTTGGTTAACCCATCCGAACTGGGGGCGGATAAGAAATACAAACCCGAGAAAAAAACCCGAAAGAAATCCTCCAATGTGAGCAAAGTTGTCAACGTGTGGCAGAATTCCCACTGCCAAATTGATTGCTATGACGATCAGGAGGGTGAAAAGTGCTCCAAACTGAACAATAATAAGGAATTAGATATTGGATCCTGAATGTGACCGATCTAAGTTTTTGAAGTATGATGAAGCTCCTTTAACAAGCAGTTTGACAATTACCTTACTAGCATATATTGTCCAATTAGTGATAAGTTCAGAAAGCATGGCTCCCAGCAATCCAAAAAGAGCACCAGAAGCACCAACAGAGATGTTTGTTTGAATGAAAAGCGATGACAACAAACTCCCACCAAGTCCAGAGATGACATATATCAACCCGATCCGGACTGCAAGAGAAACACACAAGAATTGGACAAAGGGGATGAGCTAAAGTTTTGTATACTGACATGAACACGGAAATAAGAAGAGCTATATCATCAAATAGATTTGGCTCAATCACAATGAAAAAGCCTAACTTGTCTGATATACCCAAAGTTTCCTTGTGAAAGAAGAACCATTTGCCTTTGAATGATGACAATGCTTTTAATCATCAGAAAGTTCTCTGAATTTGCAGACAAAATTTCATCACAACAATTAGATAGAAAACTGATTTTCAAAATACATACCGAAGCCAAATTCTTGCTCTAGCCGATACCCAATAACCAAAAGGCTCAACATATTAGCCAATAAATGGAAAACACCACCATGTAACCAATTGCAAGTGATGAGAAGCCACCCCTGGTGTCTGTGAACCACCTTATTTACATCTAAAGCCCCCATCTTCTGTAGCCTGCAGCAATCAACATTCCCCCATTATAAACTCATAAAACCCATTAAATCACCAATTTATTTATATATAAAAAACACACAAAACCAGCTAAAGGGTCAGCTGCAGCATTTGTGATCAAAATTTACAGAACCAATTGAAAATCTGAAAACCAACAGGATCATCAAAAACTAAGAACTCACGTGGAAGATGATGGTCCAAGAAGAGGGTTCTCCTTAAAAGGCTGAAAGGAGAATCTACCCAAGAAGGTGGCAATGCAATTGATCGAGTTCTTGGGGCAGTTGTTGACATACATGGTGACGATGAACATAATAACATTGGCAACAACAAAAACAGGTATCAGCCAAACAACCCATTTCTTGAAATGCTTGACCTCTCGATACACATCAGGAGACGAAGCTGGAGCCGGAGAAGGTAGTGGAGGTGTCTCTACGTCCACTGGGTGCACCACGTTGTAGCTCCGCCTGGAGTTCACTCTCATTTGGGGTCCTGAAGATGCAGGCTCTGCCGCCATTGAAGTGGGCAAAGAATCAAAGAATTAGGTTGAAAGCTAAAATTGATGAAGGTTTTTGATGCAGAGGATATGAATGTAAAGAAGGAGACGATGAAAAAGGTGAGAGCTTTAGGAGTACAAAGTCAGGAAATGAGGCTGCCTTTAGTCAACTTTCATCAGTTGAGAAGCTGTTGGCCTGAATTGAACTGCCCTGCTTCATTTGGCCGACACAAACGTGGCGCCTACCTAATTCTTTAGCTTTAAGGCACTGTTCGTTTGGACCTGTGACGTCGCGTTACAAAAATGGAAAAATTAAAAAATATATATATACATAAAGCAAAATGCAAAGAATGATGAAACATTCAAAATATCAGAAAATACTATTTGTTAATACAAATATTAATAATTAAATAATAATAATATGATAAATTCATACTTTTTCATATTAAAAATAAATAAATTTAGGTTTTAGCCATAAAAAAATTTCACTTTTGAAAAAAGCCAAAAAAAATTCAAAAAATACAAGAAAAATTCTCAACTTTCAAATCAAAAATATGCAAATGTAAAGGATTCTTTAGGAAATCCAAAAATAAATTATGACAATTTTGTCCATTTTGGCTTTTTTAAAAAAAATTCTATCTTCTTTTACTTTTTCCAAAGTCTCCCTAAATTTTGCTTTTTTCAAAGTCTCCCTAAAAAAAATCAGATAATAGATTATATTTTTATAAAACACAACTATCTATTATCTTTAAAATAAAGGGAGACTTTGGAAAAACACAAAGGAAAGAGAAATTTTGTAAAACAAGCAAAAATGGACAAAATTGCCCTTATTTATTTTTGGATTTCCTAAGGAATCCTTTACACTTGCATGTCTTTGATTTGAAAGTTGAGAGGTTTTTCTGTCTTTTTTGAAAAAGCTTTGGCTTTTTCCAAAAGTGAAATTTTTTTTTTTACTAAAACCTAAATTTACTTAAAATAAATTTAATTTGTTCTTAAACAAAGCCTCTTACAAATGCAAAAGCACGTTTGCGCTTGTGAAAAGACTAGTTGAAATAAAATTAGAACAGATTAAACATTTGTGAATGAGCAAATTGCATTTTGATTTCTGGAAATATATATATATATATATATATATATATATATTGCATTTTGATCAAAAGCAAACATAGCCTTCTTCTTACTTTCATTTCGTTGTCGTATGTTGCAGCTGTCCAGGTCAAAGTGATTGAATAATTCCATGCAAAAGAGTAATGATTGAATATTTAATCATATGCGTTGTATATGGAGAGCTTGATTTTAATACGATTCTTTACTTTTGCTGTATCTAGTGTGAAAGCGTGACAGACGGTGATTAGAATTTTTTTTTTTTTTTTTTTTAATTTTTTTTTTAACCAAGGGGGTTGGTGTGGGTGGTTCGGCACTCTCATTCCTTAAGAGAAGGTCAGGGGTTCATCCCTGCTCTCGTATGGAGTCACCACTTTGGCCAGCACTTTACCCCTTACGGGCCGACCCGGTGTGAGCGGGGATTAGTCTGGGTTGTGGTTAAGGCTTAAAGGTGCCACCCATAGTTGGGGCCCATCCAGGACCACCTCGTGGTTCAAACCAAAAAAAAAAAAATTGAGTTTTTTTTAACCCTCTCTACTTTGTGATTGATTAGATAGAAAATCCTTATAATCAAACATTTTTTAGGATAAAAAAAATCTTATCTCTATGTGGAACTGTTCTTTTGCCGCAAATGGGTTCCCACCATAATGATGGTGACTTCCCCTCCTCCATGGCACCCAGGATCAAAACCTTAGAGTTGGGGTTTCGATACTAAGACTTATTGATTTTTTTTTATATATCCATTCATTTTTCTGTCACGTAACTTGCACATGCATGGACATTCAAAAAATTGACATTGAACCGGGCACTCAACTAACATTAAGAACTTTTCATACCGGTGGAGTATTCACAGGGGGTACTGCAGAACATGTACGTGCCCCTTCTAATGGAAAAATAAAATTCAACTAGGATTTGGTTATTAATTTTTTCAATTTAATTAATTGACAAACCGCAATTGCTTGATGCCACAACGTAATTATAAAGTATGCAGGCATGTGAAGAACCCAATCGTGCTGCTACAAACATGTAAATTAAAATAACAATACACCTCTTTATTTATTTCAAGCAGATTCTTCATACATGTCAATTAAATCCACCGCTAATTATTACTTGATATTTTACTAATTTAATAGCATAATGATTCAATTGCAGAGTTACTAAATATACTAAATGTCTCAATCGGTCATTTGCTGCTCACCAACCGTTTGGAGAAAATACAATTAAAAGCAATAGGGAAGAAGAGGACATACATGACACATGTATTGCTTCAATTTGAGGTTTGAGTTTTTTTTTTTGGTCAGTTGAGGTTTGAGTTTTGAGCAGAAGGAAGTGTGTGTTTTTTATGAGCCACCAAACCAAACCAACCCTAACAAATATTATAGGTGTCAGATGATGTCAGTGTTTCAGTTTGACCCAAAATTATACTAAGTGGGCTAACATTGGGCTAACATTCAATATTAATCAATTTGAAGCCCGGCCCAATTTTTTGTTTTCCCAGCCCAAATTTAATCCAACTCTCCAGCCCAGCCCGATGCCGATGAGATCAAATAAAACTTGATCATCCAAGTTGTACAATAGCAAAAGTAGAAAGCACACAATCAAGAAAAATCGTACGAGAAAAAACATACAATGCCTACTTGTGGAGAGGAAATTTCCTATCTGTATATAAGTTTATAACCCTCATACCTAGTGTTTTCTTATAGGTGTGAGATAGTACAATTATGTTTTTATTTATTTTTTGATACGTTCTTTCTTTCTTTCTTAAAGCTTAAGCCTTTTGATTCAAATGGAATATTGACATGTGAAAACATAGGTGGCTTTGTACTACATCACAAGCTGTTAGAACCCAACATCACATATCAGAAGAATAGCGTATGACGGGAATCCGGGATGGTATACGAGTTCTTTAGCGCATTTTCTTTATAAATTAGATTTTAGAGGAAAGTTTCAAGTATGAACTTGAATTACAAATAAAATAAATTTATTTCTAAAGTGTCATCGGTGCGCAGTATGTAACATTATTGAACAACAACAAGAAGGAATAAATTCCAAATTTTAAAAAAAATTCATGAGGCAAATTGACATTAACCATGTGGTTAAGAAATCAAATTGGCAGATCACAAAGTTTTAAAAAAATAGTTTTTAGTGATGATGAATCTGACGATGATCAAAACTCTCTTTTTCGCCAAGTTTTTTAAAAAAATGAAGAACCAAGTGGGAGTGGCCCCCACGTGGCCAAATAACACGTTACCGTGATAATAATGGACAACTAGGCCAGCGATTCTAGCGATTCTTCTCAAACGCGTTACGGGTCCAAGAAACGCATTTGCGTCTCTTTGCTTTTTGCTTGTATTGCCGGCGTCGGATTCGATGCCTGCCTTCGCCGCCTTTATGGATTTTTCTCAGTCCCCACTCTCTCTCCCAAACGCGTTTCCTCCACAACATTCAAAATAATTCAAAACATAATTTTTTTTTTTAAAAAAAAGAGAAAATATCCTTCCGTTGTTGACTTCAAACAGAAGTAGCGCCAACGACTCGTTGCTAATCTTCGCTGTTAATCGCTTTGGTCTTATTTAAATAAACATTTAAATCCAAATTTTCCACCTCACCCTCTTCAAGTCTCTCTCTAAATTAACCTCTCTGCCTCTCTCTCTCCCTCTCTCTGTCTCTCTCTCTTGCTCGATCGCTCGCTTTGTTATTGTTCTTCAGAAGCTGCTGTGCGAGCAAAATCAGAAACTAGGGTTAGCTTACATCGGAGATGGCTCCCAAGGATCCGAAGCAGAGTGGAGGTTTCTTCGCCTCGATGGCTTCCACTTTGACCAATCTTGGCAGCGCCATGACCAAATCCGTCAACGGGTATCAGTCAAATCCTTCTTTAATTTCATCTTTCGAGCTGGTTCTGTAATTCGTTTACAGTTTTTGGTTTCATGGAGATCGGATTTTGATTTGTGTCTGTTCAATTCTCTTGCTCTTGGTGTCAATTGAAGCACTGCTGGTGCTAGCTGTTACTATAAAAGCTTTGAATCTGGCTTCTATGTTCTATTGGGTTTGAAATGAATCGCTTACTAATTTGGAATTTCTGTTGATGTGGATTAATTTAAGTGGTTTTTTGATGGTTGTGGCATTTACTTGGTGTTTGATTACTTAGTAGTACTGCCAAGTTCTGAATCTAATGTCTGCATGCTGAGAAGCTAGTTTTCTATGTTTTGAAAAATCCGATTGTGACAATTCTTGGTATTTTCACTGTACAGCATAGTGGGTTATGAGGGGCTGGAGGTTATCAACCCAGATGGAAGCTCAGAAGATCTCGAAGACGAAGCAAGGAAAGGAAGGTGGAAGCAGGAGGTACACTACTTTTCTGCCATGGAAATACCCAACTCCCCTATATGACAATGGAGAAAACGTTTCCATATTGGTTTTGTTCCCAATATAGTTGTTAGGGTTGCAAAACATATGTCAAGATTGCATTTCTCGCATGGTGATCAGCCCTTATATTAGCTCGTGTCTAATGGCCTTTGAAGGCAGGCATCATAGAGTACCATATGGTGCACACCTAGAATCAGGCATCATGTCATTTCTAATTTTTCTTTGGACAAGCTGGATCAGTTCATTCTTAGTTGACTAAAATGAAACCTTTTCTTCCTTAATTCCTTGTATGGCAGCTTCTGTGCATGCCTTGTGTTGATCTTATAAGCAGAAACTGATGCTTTTCCTATAGGGATAATAAGACAATCTATTTTTGTATTGATAAAAACTACTTTTTTTTTCTTTTCAAAACTTTCTAATGCTTTCATGCATACTCAATTCAGAAGTTCTTCCTCTTTCTTTTTTAGGATCGGGATGGTTACTGGAAGGTGATGCAGAAGTATATAGGCTCTGACGTCACATCATTGGTGACCCTTCCTGTGCTTATTTTTGAGCCAATGACTATGCTACAGAAAATGGCAGAGGTTTGTGTTATTTGTAATTGAATGGCATTATAAGAAGCTTTGTTCAATCCGATCCTGTTCTCCTCAGTGAATCTTACAATTGCCCCATTATGTTACAGCTGATGGAATACTCCCATCTGTTAGATCTGGCAGATGAATGTGAGGATCCATACATGAGATTGGTGTATGCTTGTAAGTATTTTCTGCATCTCTGCTCTGTATAGGCATTGCTGTTTCCACTTCATTTCCCTCTCCTTTTCTGTTTTTGCATGCACTGTATGATGACTAACTTACAGTTGCTGGTTGCAGCCTCATTTTTTATATCTGTTTACTTTGCCTTTCAACGAACCTGGAAGCCATTCAATCCAATACTTGGTGAGACTTATGAGATGGTTAACCATGGTGGCATTACGTTTATATCAGAACAGGTAGGTACTAACACCAAAACTAGCAATTATCTGTTTAGTTATAATTTATGGTGCTTTGGGATGAAAATAAAAGCACTTTTTATTTATTTGCATGAATCTCAAGTTGTTTGGTATATACTGGGATGCTTATCATTATCATTTTTAAATGAATTTATGTTCTTGTATTCCTTCCAGGTCAGTCATCACCCTCCTATGAGTGCTGGTCATGCTGAAAATGAGCATTTCATTTACGACATAACTTCGAAGGTGAAAACCAAATTTCTAGGGAACTCAATTGATATCTATCCAGTCGGAAGGTAACATTATTTGATCTTTCTCTGTGGCTATAATTTTGTTACTAAGTGATTTTGTATCTTCTTAACTCCTTTGAAATTGTAATGGTAACGTTTTATCATGAGATTTGAAAATGAAAACATTTTCCTCATCTAATGATTTGTGTTTAAGCAAGAGATGAAATTGCATAGTACTCTTTAGTAATAACTTGTGTAACCTTTAATTTTTTTTTATGCAGAACGCGTTTGACCCTCAAAAAAGATGGCGTAGTCCTTGATTTGGCACCCCCTCCAACAAAAGTTAACAACTTAATTTTTGGACGAACATGGGTTGATTCACCGGGAGATATGGTTCTGACCAATTTGACCACGGGGGACAAAGTTGTGCTATATTTTCAACCATGCGGCTGGTTTGGGTATGACTACCTTTCTATTGTAGTGTTCACTGCTCGTCACTTGTAGCATTGTTTGCATCACATGACTGCTTATTGAGTAACATCTTGTGGGAAGGTATTTTGGTCATACAATCGAAGTTTCAGGTGTAAAACTATCTTCTAGGGTTCTATTAAAACAAAAAATAACTGTAACATTGTGAACCTACCTTCTTGTTGTTTTATTAGTTACCTACTCCTGATTGGGCCCAATATACTCCTGGGATGCAGTGATCCGAAACAAAAATTGATAACACCAAGGTTTTAGACCAGACTGAGTGGCCAGGGGAAAAACCCCAAATTGAGGGTCAAAACTAATGTGGAAAGAGATATATGTAGTCAACTCCAGTCTTTTGGGATAATGACTTGGTTTGGGTTCAAGGCTTTTTAATCTTTAGTTATCCTAGTGTATGCTCTATGTTGATTTCACTCTTGATCTGATAAAATATTGTGCTTGCAGATCTGGTCGCTATGAAGTAGATGGGTATGTTTATAATTCTGCCGAGGAACCTAAAATATTGATGACTGGAAAATGGAACGAGTCAATGAGTTATCAACCCTGTGACTCAGAAGGGGAACCACTTCCTGGCACTGAACTGAAAGAGGTTAGGTTTTACCAGCTACATCTTGTAACTTGTAGAATCTTATTTAGGAAAACCTGGAGTGGACTTCTGTATGGTTCGTGCAAAGTGGAATTGCAGGTTCAGACCTGAGGTCATTGATAGCTATATTTGTCCTTTACATATCTGGTGTCCAGTTGGTGTATGAAGTTGTAGAAACCAACTAATCTTTATAGTTCATAGGCACTCCTATTGTTTTCATGGCCAGTTTTGAATTTTGTATTGAGTGCATTCTCATGATCGTGATGCCATGTTATTTATCTCTCCAAAGATTGAGAAGATTGGTAACTATTTTATTTTGTTCCTTCCTATTTGTCATATCAGAGGACTAGCGTACTAGTTGAGAACATTTTTTTTTGTCCATTTATGGTGACCTAGCAAACAAACTTTTTTCTTTGTTTGTTCTTTTCAGTAAACTCATAGGAAATTATTCATTGTTTCATTACAGGTGTGGAGAGTTGCTGATGTTCCAGAAAATGATAAATTCCAGTACACACATTTTGCGCATAAGATAAATAGCTTTGACACTGCTCCTAAGAAGTTATTGGCATCAGACTCTCGCTTGCGTCCTGATAGATACGCACTGGAGCAGGGTGACCTATCCAAAGCGGGTTTTGAAAAGAGCAGGTCTCTCTCTCTCTCTCTCTCTCTCTCTCTCTCACACACACACACACACACACACACACAATACAGTAAGAGATTGAATTGAAATATGAAAATCATTGGTAAAAACTGACATCTTAAATATGTCTACCTACTTTTTTGTCAGTCTGGAGGAGAGACAGAGAGATGAGAAGAAAAATCGAGTGGCAAAGGGACAGGAGTTTACTCCAAGATGGTTTGACAAAACAGATGAAATCTGCCCTACAACGTGGGATGACATGGAAGTGTACCGTTACAATGGAAAATACACTGAACATCGGGCTGCAGTAGATAACTCAGACAGCGTTGAAGCGATTGACGTCAAATCAATAGAGTTCAACCCCTGGCAATATGAGAATTTGGCTGCTGCTTGAGGTGTATCATGTGATTGTTTTGCTTGTATAATAGTTTTGCTTATTTATTTGTTATTCTTACCTTTGCTCCTCCCCTTGGGAGTCAGTATCATGATGGAATTATAAGACGGATAGGCTTTCCTAGCTATGACATTGATGTGTTGTGGTGGTAGATCTTTTGCAATCTTTTATTATGAAAAGCAATTGAAGGTTGGAAATCTGACTCGTTCTTGTGTGACAATTTCTCTGAATATCATACCGAATAGCTCTGTTAATGAGGTATCTGTGAGTTAGGGTTTAGAATACAATGAAAGAGATGGTAGCGATGGTGGTCCTGAGACAGGCACGCATGATTATGTGCTGTTGTGATGGTGGTGGTGGCTCGCACGTGTAAAGGCTGTGGGCTGCTTCCAAAGTTCTTGGCGAGCCTCTTTTTCAGAGAAACATGGGTTTGTCTTTCAGTTGGCTGATGTAAACCGATGCGAAAAAGAGGTCACATTGTGGCCTGCGTTCTCTTTCAATTTCCTTCCTGTCCGTACTCTAAGACCCTTTCAGACCTTTTTCACTTGGTCATCCCTTATCCACTCTCTCTCTCTCCACAAAAAAATATGCCACCCTTATCCCCTAACTTATCGCTCTTTGCCTCTCTCAGCATGTTAGAATGCTAGCTTTACCTCTTCCAATGAAATCCCATCTCATGAATTTATGGACCTCATGCCATTGTAATGTGGGTTTGCCTTTTGGGTTTATACGAAGTGATTGGATATTTGTTTTCCGTCTAAAATTGGATGCTACTTCAGCTTTCATGTCATAAATTTTGTCCCACTACCCCAACGAGAGAGAGACATGTCCACAACTTTTTCATCTTAGAGAGACAATCATAGTGTCCATATAATTCGTTTGAGTTTTGATAATTTTGGCAAGCTCTCATTGCCCCTTTAATTGGACTCCACACTTCACCAACTTACACACCCACGCATGTATGTGTGGGGTAGTCCACAATTATGTTTAAAGCGCGCTAATTTAATTTTGTTGAAACACGTTAATTTAATTTTGTTGAAAAAGATTTCAAGTTCAAATCAAATTTGATTAACAAGGTTATCGATATACATCAATAATGAGAACATATTTGTTGAGGAATCAACAAGTTATAAGTTGGAGTTGTGCATATTTTTATTACTTTGGGACAAAGAGCATTTCTAACCGATGTGTCAAAAGTGCCACATGGACCTTTAACAACTAGAAATAACATCTCACATCACTTCAACCGATGTGTCAAAGCTGATATGGAATGAAGGCTGGAGGTTGAGATGTTATTTTTGACATCTCAAAAGTAAGATGTCAAATGAATATTTTATTATTTTTTTCTTTTCTTTTATTTTTAATTAAAAATAAATCAACACTAAAATGTAATAAAATAATAATTTAATTTGACATATCGAGTGAAATGTAAAGCTGTGTAAAATGTCAAATAGCCACATCAACCATCAAATTTAAATTTAATATTTGCTATTGATATCTCCTTTGGAGATGCTCTTACATGAGCAAATAATTCAGGTATTTTTATACACACAAAAGCCTTGGTATGAGTTGGTCAAAAAAAAAAAAGACAAGGAACGTGGAACACGGTGGAAGGGCCTAGGAAGAGTAGCAAAGATGATTGAACCTCTCCCGTACGTACAGAAAAAGTGCATTGTTTTTATGTGAACGAGATAAGATTCAACCCAGAATTATGGAGAGACTTACACGTGTCAAGAACAGGACTGATGTGGCTCAAACGTAGGAACTGGTCCAAGAGGTTTTTGTTAACTGCTGTAGCCGGTAAACTCCCACCAGTTACCGGTTAGCTCAATTATGGGGATGAAGTTCAAACTTTATAAACAGTTGGGGGGTTTAAGAAACAAGTTGGGTGGTTTTCAGGGGGTTTTTGGTGATCAGACAGAACCCACTTTCATAGGTGAGGTGAGAATATTATGTGTATTTTAGACACTGCTTTCTGTGTCCCTTATAAGAAAAAACAAGAGTAATTCTCTCTTTTCAGGCAGGGATTTATATTTTCATCCATGAAGATGAGAACCCAGATCAAATTTTGCATGTATTTTTCTAAAATCTCATATTTTTCTGTTTAATATGCTTGCCCTGATGTCTTCTTGTGTGTTTGCACATTTGAATTTCTTCGAATTCGAATTTTTGTCTTCCAAATTCCCCTGTCATTCTCATGTAAACTCACTTTCTGGTGGAATTGTAATTCCTTCATTTCTTTTAATATAGAAGTCTCTCTCTCTCTCTCTCTCTCTCTCTCTCTCAAATATAAATATGATGTTTGAACCAGTGAACTATATGATGATCTGCCGTTTTACATTCTGTCAGAGGGTTTAACGTTGGCTTCCTGTTCTTTTATATACTAATACATATGTTAAGTTATGCCTTCGTGACATAAAAAAGGTGTTAACTTTGTTATGATTTGTAGAAACTGAGGGGTCTTATTTAGGAACAAGTTGACATATATTGTATTCTGCAATGTGATGATTTCAAGGTTTTCTAACTACCCTTTTGTCTGTAAGCCTTGTTTACCCTTTTAACTGTAAGCCTTCTTGTCTGCATTGCCTCACACATATACCATTCTAGTAATTTCTGCATTTGATTTTCCTTTGTTTTATTTATTTTATATAGGAGAATATGTAGGTCTATATATATTTTTGTTCACTCGTTAGATTTTGGCGATCTGGAAGTAGTCATGAAGATGATTGGTCAGAAATGAAACTGAAAAATGAATTTCCCAGGGGAAAGGGAAGGAAAGCAGGAAAGCTACATTTGGTTGCACAGAGTTTTTGGAATTTATTTTGATTATGATCTTCTGTTGTTCCGTTTTTTGAGTTGTACTTCACTGAATTAAATTTGGTCCCAGAGTTGGTCTTCTCTTAGTGCAGATCTCATTTTGACTTTAGAACTTTGGGTTTTGCAGCAATTGGTACAAGACCACTTAAAAGCATATAAGATCTTATCTGCATTATGTACCCGTTGTTAAAGAAAGAGTACGATTTGTTTCATGTTTTTGTGTCCTAGTGTTCTTGGTCGGTGTTCTTTTATTCATGGGATTAGGACACATAAATTCGTTTTTGTATTAAGTTATCAACCACCCAACAATTTGTTTCATATATGTTCCTTTTTTGTTGATCAGGCCTCTTAACCTTGATACGATATTTATTTGGTTGAAGTACAAGTTTTGTTCTAGTTTCATCAGTATTAGTCTATTATTTACATCTTACAGCCCAGCTTCACCCCATGCAGTGGTCTTTTACCTTTTTTTCTTTCTCCACATGCATTCGATGCAAGAATTTCCTGGCTGCCAATTCTGCTACTTGTTTTTCACAAATTTCTATATTTTCCATCCTCAACGCATAAGTGAATTTCATGTCATTGTTTTTATCTTGTGATGTTGAACTGATTGCATTAATTTTGGTTAGCTAACAGGGTCTTGTTCTGTAGGCCTTGAGATTAAAGAAGCTTGTTACTTTTAGCAGATGACTTTTTCTACTTGTGATGAAAGTCTGAGATATGGTATTGCAGCGGAGGTTGGACTATGGCTTCAATGGCTACCAGGTGCCTGAGGTTCCTCGAGCTTCTAGATCAGCCAGGGTAAAGGCTCCCATGACCAATCTTATGGGTTGCCTGTTGACATTCTATTTTGTGTGTACAAGGAGTCCTGATCTTGTGATCTATTAATATTTTTGGTTCAGGGAAGGGGACCTATCAAGAAGAAACTAGAGGCCAATCAGATTCGTGCTTTTGAGATTTTGGCCAGTGTAGCTGGTAAGTTATTGCAGGAGAGCGAACATCCTCTGCCAACAAATGATTCTTGTGGAAAGGATGCGCATTTCATTTTTGATGATACCACTAAGAGCAAACAGGAGAAAGGAAACTTGTCAAAGGAAGACCCGTGTGAGCGCGGAAGCTGTGATGAGCAAACCCTTTTATGTGTGGGCAGGATGCAAGAGTGCCAACAAAGTTATACATTGAATGGGGTTTCACATTCTCAGGAAAATTTTAGTTATGAGATCAACCGAGCATCAAAAAGTTTTGATCATTCAGAGAGTATATATTCTAACAAAGTATTCAGTGACTCTCCCTTATCTGGAGATTCTGTTGAAGAGAAGCCACGGGGTGTACTTAAGAGGAAGCTAGAGACTGGACCATCAAAGGATACGAGCATAAAGGATGAAAGAACCCAGATTTTAGGCAGTTCTGAGGATGTAATGAAAGTGGAAGGGATGCCTCCTGAACTGGTCAGTTGTGGGCATGATGTAAAGACTTCCTTTTCAAGGGACTGCAAAAATCATGATCCTTTACTCTGCGATTGTGCTAATATTAAAGTAGATAGTAGAGATGATGATGAAAACTGTGTTAGGTATGCCCAACCCCTCAGCGTGGTAAAAGAATTTGAGCACCCACCAGACGCCAGTGATGAGAAAATAAATAATCTGGCTGCGTCCAGGCACTGGAGAGTAGCTCCTGAGAGGAGGATTGGGGGTTATTCTAGAAATGGTAATTGGCTTTGTAATGCACTCTTGTTTTGAATGTAAAGTAAGTTGTAGGTGTTATGATTAGTCTGTTGGGTTTCATGAACCGTGCAATTGATATTAGTTTCCTATCAATATCCTTGGCTTAGGATAGAAACATTTTCTCTTGTGCCCTTTTTGGTGTATTGACTAAACCTTTCTGGATTTTATGTTCGTTATGATAAATATGCTTTGATGGTGGTTTGATGCTTTCAGATGAGAAGATCAGGCAAGTTTACCGCCACGGGAGAACTTGTTATACACATCAAAGATCACAGAAGATTTTTCCTTTCAAAAAGAGAAAGTTCTTTAATCAGATGCCACTCACTACTACACCTGATAGAGGGTTTAACTGTGAAAGCATATTTAATTCTCCTGATAAGAGAGTAAATAGTGACAACTACTGCGCAGGTTCAATGATGCATACTGTCCGCTTTCCATTTTCTACACATGTGCACAGTGCACATTATACTCCCATTTACATTGAAGGTTTAGGTTTTAGGGATGTATCAAGTTTGGCTTAACAATCCTAGCTCCTAAATGCAGAAATTGGACCATCATCCTCAACAACAGGTGGGCGAGTACCACTCAAGTCCAGTGATTGCAATGGTAAGAATATCTATTGACGTTGTCTGGAATTCTACTACATATTGCCATTTTACTTTATAATTTTCTTACACACTCTTCCTTTTGTTAATCAGTGAAGCTTAGTATTAAATCCTTCAAGGTTCCTGATCTCTTTATTGAAATTCCTGCAACCGCAACTGTTGGTTCATTGAAGGTTTGTGTTATTACCTTTTTCCGAGGTGTTGATATTTTAACTTTGCTGCCATATTGTTTCCCTAGGTTTCAAGAAACAATTAACATTTAAGCCTAACTCTATTTTTTGATGTGGTGGTGGGGGATAAAGATATGGTGTGGATTTTAGAATGTCATATGAAACATTTAGTCAAATCAAATGTGTTTCACCAAAGCCATTGCAGGTTACTTCAACTTATCAAATAAGTAGTTCTTGACATTATTTCGATACTTTTTAAGCTGGAAAACTTAGCGTGGCTGACATAGATGATTGGGTGATTGCAATTCCTTAGACCAATCAAGGTTGGTTGGGTGGAAAATGTTAAGTTTCATCCCTGCGTTTGTACTTTTGGGGCGTCAGGAATAAGGAGGCATTTTGCTTTCTAGGTAGTTCATAGCTGGAAATTAGACTATCAATTACGATTAAGAATATGCTGAAGGTATGCAATCTTTCTCTATCATACAGTCTTTTTCCATTTTTGCGTATTTCATTTGACCTCTTAATTATGTTGGGAAGAAAAATGGATCCAAATACGGTTCAAGAAATCTCACGCTATTATTTTGTTTAGATTTAATTGGTAATATCTGATGTTTTTTCTGTAGAGGACAGTAATGGAGGCAGTAACATCCATACTTGGAGATGGATTACATGTTGGCATCCTGGTCCGGGGAAAAAAGGTCAGAGATGACAACAAAACTCTACTTCAGACTGGGATTTCTCAGGATGAGAAGAGTCGTAATTTGGGCTTTATGTTGGAGCCAAAACGTGCAAAGCTTACATATTCTCCACGCAGCAAAGATCCTTCTTTGCCATCTGGCAGATCTCGGGAGTTAACCAGGTAACGGTTTAGTAAGTGTTAGCTTATGAATTGGAACATCTTGTAGTGGTTCTTTCCCCACTCTTGCAGCTCATACTCTCATTATTCCTAGTTTCGGTAGCTAAGAGTTAATCTGGTTGCCTTATCTTCATGAGGGTATGTTTTGTTGTCAGGCATTCTGCATCTTTGGTGTCACAACCGGGGACTTCAAATGTCTCCCCGAATCCTCCAGTAATTAATTTTGGTGGTTGTGTTAAAAGAGACCTCAACGCAGCTCCCTCTCTTCCTTGTACCTCTACTGAAAAAACCCCACAAGCATCCCAAGCTCTGGTTGCAGTTCCACCAATTAGCATGAATGCATTGGCTGTGGTTCCTTTTCATCGGAAATCTGGGCATCCAGAGTATGTACAGCGCCGGATCAGGAGACCTTTCTCTGTTCCAGAAGTAGAAGCATTGGTTCAAGCTGTTGAGAAACTCGGAACAGGAAGGTTGGTTTGATCATTATCGCTTCGCTATGGTCAAGGAATATTAGTATCATGATGCAGACTATGTGACAGTTTTCTTGGGTTGCAGGTGGCGTGACGTTAAGTTGCGTGCTTTTGATGGTGCAAAACATCGAACTTATGTGGATTTGAAGGTGAGTTATTAATTTGAGTATAAGGTCAAATGGATTTTTTGGGTTAGTATTTTTTCCCTGAATTCATCTATAGTTCGTTTTTCAACCTCATGTAGTTTGAATAGTGTTAAAACACCCTTTTACACTTTGAATATTCAGTTTTGAGGTTTAAAGCAGTTAAGCTGCTGCCTGATATCGGCGTAGTCTTTATGATAGCCCATGGCCTTAGAAAATGTACTACATTGTTGCCCTCCTAACAAAATGTGGAAAATTGGGAGTGGTGCAGGACAAGTGGAAAACATTGGTACACACAGCAAGAATCTCCCCCCAGCAAAGGAGGGGAGAGCCAGTTCCGCAGGAGCTTCTGGACAGGGTCCTAGCTGCCCATGCCTGCTGGTCTCAGCGGCGCGCCAAGCAACAGGTCAAAGCAGCAGTCTGAGGCCTAGGCTTTGCCAAAAAAGAACTGGGAAGAAGAGGGTATCTGTATGTAAATGTTACAGCTAGAAAAATGTCATGTAAATGAGACTTGATGTAATATGCTATTTCTCGCACTTGATCCACTAGACACCAATCTATCCTTTCCCAGTTAGAAGAGTCTTGTGATATGTAAATGATTGTTTATGCAGCAACTGGAGTATGCTCTGAGACTTCATTAAATCCACCAGACATCACATGGAATATATATAATATGACAAATTGTTTGATTCTCAGCCAAGATTTTATGCCAGTGCATGAAGAAGATACTTATATTTCCTATCCTCTCTCTCCTTGAAATCAATTTTGTCGATCTTTTTTCTGAGTTTTTATCTGTCATTCAAATAATATTTTGTTATTTTTCTGCGCTGGTTAAGTTTTTTATTTTGGGTTTATGTATCTTATACTAATCGGTTTGCAATTGCCGTCATTGATGATGCAGACTGCACTATAAGTCTTAAGCACTATTTATCTTAATCAATGATCTTAATTGCAATCTGACAACATAAAAGAATATTAGTATGCCCTGATCAACAACAGAATCACTTACCCACTACATCATATACATAACTAAGGTCTATAAACTTGAAGCCTCACTGCACTCAACACATGGTTTACTAATTTCTATAAAGACAATGGAGCATGTGAAGGAATTCCAATTGGTTTGTTTCTAATTGGTGGTCCTTGGTGTGGCATGTGCTTAACTTGGGTTGATCAATTTTTTTAAGCTTTAATCTTAATTTATAATTAAAATTGTTTAAGCCAACCCTTGAAAAGGATCTTTAACTTGCAAATCAGTGGTTTCAAGTTCGAACTCCCATGACATGTTGAGAATGTATATGTGAGAAAACCCCCCTCCCTCCCCTAAAATATCTCTAGTATAAAAAACTAATTAAAATTGTTTAAAAGTACCTTAAACATGCCCACCATAGTCAAAGGGGTAATTTGATTTTCCATTCAAACACAATGGTGAGGACTCGTTTTCTGCTTTAAAAACTGAGTCCTATGTACTTGCAACTTATGAGTTTTCTGCTCTAAATTATGTTTTTTGACCAATGACCATGGAACATTAGTCTTCAACTTGGGTTATTATTTAATTGTTAATTGTTGTTAGTGGCATAACAAAAATCAAAGACAGCACAGAGCCACACAAATCACACATGGCAAATCGGATGGCAACCCATTGAAGGAGTCAACCTACGATGGAAGCACTTTTTTTTAATGAGCAAAAGCACTTTCTGTCCCTCTCAATCAGAATTAAAATTTCGTCCTTGCTTTAATGGCTCTTTCTGCCATCAGAAATATTCAAATATGCCTCCCCATTCCCATGCTCATGTGTCACACTCCTTTCTCTTGCTATTCTTGTCAAACTTTTTTTTTATATTAGAATAATTATGTCAAACATTTTAAATGTTTTTAAATTACTATCATTAACAAAAGAAAATCACTATCAGTGACGGTTATTTGAACATAAAATCTTTATGACTTGACCAAAAAAACATGTCAGTTAGAAAATTTTTCTCTTAAAATCTAGAGCCTTTTTCCAAAATTTGACAGTGGATACGAGGATGAGAGTGGGATTTATTTCCATATTTGGCAAATGAACTCACAAAACAAAATAAACGTTTTGCATTCTTATAAAACAAGAGGAATTGTTCTTAAGCGATTATTTATGACATGACTCAAATAAGATACGACTCATCTTCATTTTTGGAACTCATATAAAAAGATTAAATGACAAATTATGTTTACACCAGCTTCATTGTGAAAAATTTATAACTCAAATGGTTAAGAAAACCACCCATGTCCCCGAGATTTTCTGTTAGAACCCCCTTTTTCAGCATCACTTACATAAAACAAGAAAAAATTTGGATCATTCGGATAGAAACGTTGCATTCATTATATGAGGTTCTAAAATCTTGACAATACAAGGGCATTTCTGTAAATCTGAACAAAGTGAAAGTGGGGTGAAGTGACTAGGCTTGTTCTGCAAAAGTGGAAAGAGAAATGAGCCACGTGGGACAATATTTCGTTTTCTGATGGACACGTGGCAATCAGGAATAGGCAACGTCGTCCAGAGGGTCATGATACACGGGAAGACAAAGATGAAACCGGTTCGTCTCAAGATATGGACAGGCTATACCCGGTGAAAGCTTGAAATCAACGGCTGGTGTTCGTCTAATAACCCAGAAAGACAACCTTAAAAACTTGAAATAACTACGTGAGCTCTCCTTTGAGTGTTCCATCTCTCTGCTCGCTCTGCTTCTCTCTTCTGCAATCTCTCTGTGAGCTTCAGGCTTAGCTCTACTTAGAGGTAAGCTTTTGATATTTTGTGGTTTGACATAACCCAAGTAGATTAGAGGTTTTGTTTGTTGTAGCATTCCTGGGTTTTTGAAGTTATTTCTGTTCATAGTTGACCTTCATATTGAATTAACTAATTATATTTTTATAATTGAGAAAAGCTACTTGTTTCAGTGATTTTTCTCTGATTATGCTGTGAAGTTTTGGTGTTTCTTGTTGTTTAAGATGCTTTAGTTTGTGAATTTTTGAAGTTTGAAGGTTTGTAGATGTACTTGTGGAGGTTCCCATTTTCATTTTGGTATTTTAATGGTTTTTTAGGTTGAAGAAGGAAACTAATTTGGAAGGAAATTCTGCAGCTTTTTTGGATTTGGGTTCTCTCTCCTAGTTGGGTTTCTATAGAGACTGTAGAGTAATTACAAAGTTCATGACAATGGATCGTCGTCTTAGGGCTTTCTCTGATTCTTTCAATGGAGTCCAATTAGGGAACCGAGTTTTACCCATTCTTTCACATCCGAACATCGTGGCCCAATCCCAATTCGATAGTAATACCTTCTTAGATAATAATTATAGGGAACTTAATTACCCTCAACCCGTTCTTACCCCGAATAATGTATCTTCATACGCAAGTGTGAGCCCTGAGGACGATTCTCAGGAAGATTGTGACTTTTCGGATGTAGTCTTGAAGTACATAAACCAGATGCTTATGGAAGAAGACATGGAGGACAAGACTTGCATGCTTCAAGAGTCTTTGGAACTTCAAGCGGCTGAGAAGTCATTCTATGAGGTCCTTGGAAAGAAATATCCCCCTTCTCCAGAGCTACACCAGGATTATGCCATTCAATATGGTGAGAGCCCAGGGGATAGTTTTTCTGGAACTGGGAGCAACTATATCACGAGTACTTGTAACAGTGGTGGCTATTTCAGTGACAATACCTTGATTCAAAGTCCAGATGGATATTTGTCTCAGTTAAAGGGTCTTCCAGCTTATAGCATTTCTCAATCACGTTATGGCTCTTCAACTAGGGTCAGTAGCCTGGATGGGCAGGTGGACTCTCCTAGTAGTCTTCATATGCCAGATTTGAATACCGAGAGCCAATCTGTTTGGCAGTTCAAGAAGGGAGTTGAGGAGGCTAGTAGATTTCTTCCTGGTGAGACTAAGTTGGTTGTTAACCTGGAGGCAAATGGGCTGTCGGCTCAAGTGCCAAAGGTCGGGACCAATGGTGAAGTTGTCAAGGTGGAGAAAAAGGATGAAGGAGAATATTCTCCTAGTGGATCAAGGGGAAGGAAGAATCTGTATAGGGAGGATGACGATGTAGAGGAATCAAGGAGTAGCAAGCAAGCAGCTGTTTCTACAGAATCTACTCTGCGGTCGGAGCTGTTCGATACTGTATTGCTTTGTAGCACAGGGGAGGGTCGGGAGCGCTTGGAATCTCTTCGCGAGGCCTTGCAGAATGGAATGAGCAAAAGCGTGCCACAGAATGGGCAATCCAAAGGATCAAATGGAGGGAAAGGTCGTGGTAAGAAACAAACTGGTAAAAAGGAGGTGGTGGATTTGAGAACCCTCTTAATCAGTTGTGCACAAGCAGTTGCAGCTGATGATCATAGAAGCGCAAATGAACTGCTAAAAAAGGTCAGACAGCATTCTTCTCCTTTTGGAGATGGGACTCAGAGACTTGCTCATTGCCTTGCTGATGGCCTTGAGGCACGCTTGGCTGGTACTGGTAGCCAGATTTATAAAGCCCTTGTTAGCAAAAGAACCTCTGCTGCTGATTTCTTGAAAGCTCACCATCTATACCTTGCTGCATCCCCATTTAAGAAGATATCTAATTTTGTTTCAAACAAGACAATAATGAATCTAGCACAAAATGCGACAAGGGTCCATGTCATAGATTTCGGTATCCTTTATGGTTTCCAATGGCCCACCCTTATTCAACGTATCTCCTGGAGGGATGGTGGACCTCCAAGGCTTCGGATTACTGGAATCGAATTTCCCCAACCAGGATTTCGGCCAGCTGAGCGAGTTGAGGAAACAGGACGTCGTTTGGCAGCTTATGCTGAGAAGTTCAACGTGCCATTTGAGTACAATGCTATTGCAAAGAACTGGGATACCATTAAACTTGAAGAACTCAAGATTGACAGGGATGAGGTTCTTGTTGTGAACTTTTTATATCGGGGCAAGAACTTGCTTGATGAAAGTGTGGCTGTGGACAGTCCAAGAAACAGGGTTCTTGATTTGATAAGGAGAATTAATCCAGACCTTTTCATCCATGGAATTGTTAACGGGGCGTTCAATGCCCCCTTCTTTGTTACCAGGTTCCGCGAGGCATTGTTTCATTTTTCTTCACTGTTTGATATGCTTGAAACTGTTGTACCCCGAGAGGACCAGGAGAGGATGTTAATTGAGACAGAGATCTTTGGCAGGGAGGCATTAAATGTTATAGCTTGTGAAGGATGGGAGCGGGTGGAAAGGCCAGAAACATACAAACAATGGCAAGTCCGTAACTTGAGGGCTGGGTTTGTGCAGCTACCTTTAGACCGAGGGCTTGTGAAGAGGGCAGGTGAGAAAGTGAGATCTGGTTACCACAAGGATTTTGTCATTGATGAAGATAGTCGCTGGCTGTTGCAGGGATGGAAGGGACGAACTGTCTATGCCCTTTCTACTTGGAAACCTGCTTAAGAAACTTTGAAAGGCACAGTTATTAGTGCTTGTAATCTGCTTCTTAGCCCTTCGGCTTTCAACAAAGATACTGGAGCGATTCAAGGTAATTGTGTTGCTTGATTTAAGTTTTTGTTATCTTTTATCCTCTCTCTCTCTCTCTCTCTCTCACCCCCCTTATTATTGCCCTCCTCACATTTGTTGATAATCTGGCAGGTAAAGGGGGTAGCTGACTTTCACTGTTGATGGTTAATTATGGCAAGGTAAAAGTTTGTCACCATGTTCACAATCCTTGTTCAATTTAAGAAGCAGAACAGAAAACTGTGCAGTTTGATACCAGTTGTGTTTCTCTCTCTCTCTCTCTCTCTCTCTCTCTCTCTCTCTCTCTCTAACACAATTGTACCATTCGTTGTGATTGGGATTTCCCTTGTTTATTAGCTTATGTGGCTTTTTAAAAACAATCTTACCCACTTCCTTAAAAGATTTAAACTTTTCTGAAATACCATATTCTTTTTTGCTCAAGTCATACTCCGCCAGAGGCATCTGGAGTTGGCCTGCTTATAGAATTTGGTATCTGAGTCTGACTACCACCATAGAAATGGAATTTGATTCGCCAGGCAAGGCAATACAAGACAACGCACAAAAGAAACTGGTCTTTGGGATCAAATGCAAAGCTGCTTCATTTGGATTGGAAGGACCAGTACATGAGTTCCACTAACTATTAATTTATGCCCATTTAATACATACTTCAACCTGGTACTAAATTGTCGGAGCAAATCATATTTTATGGATGATAAACAGGTACTTAACGACTTTAATCATGTTGTGGGGCAGCAGAACCATAAAATAATGTAATGTAGGGTCAACGTCTCATAAGGCTTCAAGCGGTTAAGAGCATTCATTCATGTACCGAAGTTTTCCGTTCGATTTTTCCTCTCTCAGTATCTTTTGTATTAGAAAAAAAGAACGAACTTTTAATCTTATACAGGGAATGTGGCATAATTCGTCTATTCTTCTTCAGGCAAACTTGTCTCGTCGAACCATTGAGGAGGATCATATCCAGTGCCGCCTAAAAATGAGAAACGAACAATTCACATAAATTTAAAGACCCAAAAGAATTTGAAGGAATAAAAAGAAACCCAGCAAAATTAAGAATGTGTTTAATTACCAAGGGGATTACAACGACAGATTCGCCAAGCTGTCAAGACTGAACCTTTTGCAAATCCATATTTCTTGTAAGCTTGCATTGAGTACTCACTGCAGGTTGGGACATACCGGCAACTATTCAGCAACAGAGGTGAGATTTCCCCTGCACTTTCACAAATTTGCTAAATTTAGTCATAACCCACCATTATTATTACTAATTAACAGTCAATGACTTTCTTAATCACGTTTAAATTGACAACTCCCAGAGAAAGAAGAAGAAAAAAAGATGCTTACTTTTGTAGAATTTGAGCACACATAATGCAGCTTTAACTCCCAAATTGTCCACTTCCTTATCTGCTTACAAGCGAACTGCTTGGTGAGCATTTCAGTATGTACGGAAATTAAGAGAGAGAGAGAGAGAGAGAGAGAGAGAGAGAGAGAGAGAGAGTACCTTGTGGATTGTCCGGATCGGATTCTGTGTCTCCATTCAGTCCATTGATTATGGGGCGACGGCGAGCCCTCCAGGCATGGAATTGATTGGGGTTAATTCTGCGGGAATTGAAGCTAGGGTTTTGCGATTGGGATGGGACAGTTATAGCCAGAGGTCTATGGTAGTTAACCAGCATAACAACCGCCATCTTCAGCTGCGCTTCGACTCGAGCGCGCCTTATGATATTTTCTCCCACGGCGTCGTTTTGCATGTTTATTATTTGCACCACATTTCCTTTTTCTTTTTATTTGTTTGAAATATTTGCACCACTTTACCATATAGCTAGCGGCTACGGCGTCGTTTTGCAAGTTTATTAAATTATTATTTGCACCACGTTTCCTTTTTGCACCACTTTATAATATCACTAGCGCCTAAGCCAATTTTTCGAACCTTAGAGCATCTCCAGCACCAGACCCAATCTGGGGGAAAGGCCCCCCTGGTGAGCCCAAGCGCCCTACAGCACGAGAGAAGAAGCCCAGGCAAGAGCTGGGTCCCACTAGTCCAGGCATGCCCAAGAGCAAGTTCCGCCTGGGCTTCAGCCCGAGGGCTGTGACATCAGCGCTGTTGTCACAGCACAGTAATTCAAATTTTTATTTACTGTTGGTGAGTGAATTTCACACGCCAATAGTAAAAAAAAATTTTGATTTTCACTCGCTGACATTAGCGTGATGTCACTGCTGACAAGCCCCAACGGGAATATGCCACGTGGCGCTTCCTGGACGCTTTGATGCAATTTTTTCCAAAAATCTAACGGCCTTGATTTTTTTGGCTTAAAAAATTGAATTTTTTTTAAAGAAAATACCAAAAAATTATGGATTTTTTCCCTATAAATATCTAACAATTTTATTCATTTTCCATACCAAATCTTCATACAAACTCATCTCCTTCCAATATTTTTCACTTTCCACACAAAATTTTCTACTACAAAATTTCATTTGTGCAAAAATACAAATGTCATCTTCCATCGAAGCCAGAGGGTCATGGACAAATGTTCGAAGAGATCAAAATCTTGGCAACGAGGTAAAATAAAAAAATTTTTTAATAGATTAGTCAAGGCAAAACAAAAAAGAGGAAAACTATTATACATGGCTCCTCAAGTGAACAATGCCCGCAGTCAGTTCCAGTGGTGCGTTCCGTGTCAGAAATAATGACACTATTACGTCATCTGAAGGAAAATACTCCCCAACGTCGTGATCCAGTGGAACCGCCTCCGCCAATAATGAAGTTATCCTTGTATTCCATTGTGTCGGACTATGAGGACCAAAAATATTTCAATTGTATGATGAGTGAGTAGGTATTTCAATTGTATGATGAGTGAGATGTGAATTTTATAATAAATATGGACACGTGGTAACCGAAAATTTTATTTGAAAATTTTATCCAAAAAATGTTATCTTAAATTTTAAGTGAAAATTTTATAATAAATAGTGATACGTGACAACCGAAAATATAATCTAAAAAGCTTATCAAAATTAATGGTTTAAAGTATAAAAAATAAGTAAATAAAGTACAATGAATAGTATTTGCCTTAGACTTGCCCTAGACTTAGCCCTCATGGGTGGAACCACAAATGACAAGTCTAAGGCAATTACTATTCACTTAAATTTATATTTTATTTTTTATACTTAAACCATTGATTTTGATAAGCTTTTGGATAAGATTTTCAATTCCCAAGTATTAATATTTATCGTAAAGTCCTCACCTAAAAATCAAGATAACATTTTCGGATAAAATTTTGAAATTAAATTGGGTGGAAAGTGAATAATATTTGTAGGTATGTATAGAAAAAATTTCCAGAATTTTTTGATATTTTTTAATTTTTTTAGCCAAAAATTGGACAATCGTTGGATTGTGCAAGATTTTGATCGGAGGCTCAAAGAGAAGCCACATGGCTTGTAACCATTGGGCAATGTGGGTTGGTGGGTCCAACAGTAAAAAAAAAATTGAAAATCAGCTGCTGACGTCAGCAGCCCGAAGGCAACAGTCCAGTCAAGATCTGCCCTCGGGCTTGCCCAGGTTGGTGGGACCCAGGGCTTACCCGGGCTGCAAGTGCTGCACTGGAGCCGCATTGGGCTTGCTAGGGGGGCCTTTTGCCCAGTTTGATAGCAGCGCTGGAGCTGCTCTTAGAGCTGCTCAAGTCAGGCATCGACCCACAGCCCACATAACTGGCCCATTTACTAGCGCCTAGCCGATACTGAAAAACTAAAGAGGAAAAAGAAACAATAATAAAGGAAAATACTGGGTTTTATCCTCTAATTTGTTTTTATTTTCTTTCTTTGAATATAAACCTTTCGAGTAATTTTCGGGTGAGACCATAACACCGCCACTTGATCTTACACTCCATTCACGATAATGAGCATTTGAATTATTATTAGACAAGCTCAGGCAACCCAAATAAGATGCTAGACGACCATATAAAACTAGGGGATGCATACTCTTTAACATTGTTTCACTGATAAACATCTTAATATGCTAGTTTATTTTCTGCTGTTCTTTCCCAGTTATTTTATTTTATTTTATTTTAAAAAAACACCCATAAAGGGATATCTTCTCTTTGGCATTACAATCCAAAACTGAAAGTAGTTGTTCTAAAATAAAACTTGATAGGATATAATATTGTTCCCAGACCAACAAGGTATCTGCAGAAAATCAGAACCGAGTAGTGATCCGGGAAAATAGAGCCTTGAAATCCTTGGTTGGTGTCCCAGTTCCCTCAGGCTTTGAGGCCAAATCAAATGCTTTAAACTTGGCCTCCTCGAACTGTAGTGCCTGATCAAATTAAAGGGGCATACAAAAAGCAAGCAAATTAGTAGAATGCACCACCATTAACCGAAAAACAGATACTGCACAACCAGAAGACCCATGCAAGCTTCGAGGTAAGAAGAGAAAAATGAAACTAGGAAACTGTTTATTTGCACAGCCCCTACACACAATACCTGAATGCAGACTTCTGCAACATCAGCTCTGGCAATGGTTCTTGTTTCTGTCTTCAGAAGCTCATCATCCTTTCCAATCAGTAGTTCACGGATACCGCCTTCTTTATCTTGCAAGCCTCCAGCCCTAATTCATTAATAGTGGTCTAGATTAATTGGATAGTTAAAGAGAATAACAAAAAGTATCAGTTGTATAATGACAGCATTGCTAGGTACAACAATATAGTGATTTGAATTCCTATTGTACACTTGACTGATGCACATACCACACAACTAGTTCTATAAGTTTTAGTATCTGCAGCTATGTGGGGTCACAGAAAGAAAGGATTCTGTGGGTTTTTAAAAGTGCCATTTTGTTGAAGAATAAAAACCCAATGCTAAGTAGCATAAACAACGCTTAGGATTCCTACTTTTTCAATTGTGAGGTTTAAGGTCATATAAATACTTCAAATTTTCTGTAACAGTAGTAAGGAAACCAGCCAATGATGTTACAAAGTCCATTAATTACGAATATATTGCTTGAATAAGTATGAATATAACTAGACCAACCTTATGATTGTGTATGGAACACCAGAGTCAGCCAAATACTGCTCAGCCTTCCTCTTCCAAACCTGTATAGCGAACATATTGCATATCACTTTTATAATTAACTTATAAGAAGGAAGGAATAAATCAAAATGAAATTCCATTTCTACAAACAGAACGCTGAAAAGCTAGCAGAAAAGGAGGTAACTCAAATGTAGAATGGAATTACTGACCAATATATTCCCATTACCCAAGCTATTGAGGGGATTATTAATATCTGTTCCACCCATAGACCCAACTAACACAATTTGCTTCACTCCCGCAGCCTTAGCTGTTAACATTCATCATATAAATCAAAATGGGATTTACCATACAATTCACAAAGTACAAGCCAAATAGACCATGTCTTGAATAAATGGAAGGAAGGATAAAAATTCTCACCAGCATCTATTTGGTTTTTCTGTCCAATCCAATCAACCTAAGATGCAAAACGATATATTAAAACAAGGAGGAAAAACTACAACTACAAAAATAAATATTTTTCTACAACCACATAAAACCATGATTCTAAAAATCATAAAAATGAAGGCACATACCTGTTCAGGATATGACCCATCTTCAAAATAGAATTCAGGCCTCCCACCTTTGGTTGGATCAAATCCAGGTTTCATCCTTGGCACAGCACTTGTAAGGATAACGAGAGCATCAATGCCTTGAATTGCAGGTAGAATGCTGTTGGCATCCCTTATATCTCCAATAAAAATATCATCTGCTCCACCAATGCTCTCTTTGCTCTCTTCTGTCCTAACCAGACCCCTAGCAACATACTGGTCTGCCTCCTTTAACTTCTTATAAACTATTTTACCTGCCAAGAATCCCCCAATAATGCATTTCAATTACAAACTCTTCCTTTAACATAAGGGCATGAAAAGTCCTCTCCGACATTCATTGCCATAGATGTTGAGTAACAACTCAAAATCAACGAATCCAGTCACAAAACACATTTTCATCACCATAGATGCTGAGTTTGTTTTTTTTTTGGGGTCAACGCCATAGATGCTGAGTAACAACTTAAAATAAACACATTCACAACAATAAAACACACGGGCATCACCCCACTCAATCACACATGCTTCTCCACACAAACACCCCCAATTATCTATTACACTTACATTTCTGCCCACTCTCATTGACCCACCACAAATCTCACACCCTAAATACTAAATACACATCTTCTAATGCTTTTTACCAAAAAGCTCTCTAATTTATTGAGTCTATGACTCACTGAGCCCAATAATCCAGTAAAGACAAACAATAAACCATCCAAAATTCAGACCAAATCCATATAAACAAATGAACCGAAAACCCAACAAAACTTCACTTTCAACAATTAACAAAAAATAGGGAGGGCGAGAGAAGGAGAGTACCAGTTCTACCACCAGCTCCAGTGACAAGGACTGTGCTTGGACCCAAATCCGCCATCGCCTTTGTGACCACTCCTATGCTCCTAAAACCCTTTCTCACCCTTCTCTGGACAAACAAGGATGAAGCAGAAAATGAGGTCGAATAATGAAAAGAAAGGCTCGAACTTTCAGGATGTGCCACCCAACTACATTTATGACATTGACGGACGCTGCGACTGTTGCTAAATCTACAATTATTATTTGAGATCACCAAGGGGACACGTGGTGCCACTGCCACCGTTGCCATTTCTGATGAGACCAAAA